TTAGAAAGTCTGTTAGCAACAAAATGCTAAGAAAACAATACATAAGACAACCCTCCCAAAGTAACAACACGCAGACATCCAAAAAGAGATTTAAAATGATTAACTTGTTCATTTTTCATTTAGCATATCAACTGCACATTTATTTTGAGTTCTTGGTTAGTGATCGATCGCTAACTGAAGTCTATCACAGTTGATTTCCCCGTATAGACTGGCGCTACACAACACACATGGGTGAGTCCAGTGTATTGGCTGTATGGACAAAGATGACTGCACTCCATGGGTCGCAACTATTACTATTGCAAAAGGTCTTGATGGTAAGGTATGTCTTTTTGCTGATGATACTAAGATATGTAACAGGGTTGATGTTCCAGGATGGATAAGCCAAATGGCAAATGATTTAGGTAAATTAGAAAAATGGTCAGAGCTGTGGCAACTGACATTTAATGTGGATAAGTGCAACATAATGCATCTTGGATGTAAAAACCCCAGGGCAGAGTACAAAATATATAATAGAGTCCTAACCTCAACATCTGAGGAAAGGGATTTAGGGGTAATTATTTCAGATGACTTAAAGGTAGGAAGACAATGTAATAGAGCAACTGGAAATGCTAGCAGAATGTTTGGTTGTATAGGGAGAGGTATTAGCAGTAGAAAGAGAGAAGTGCTCATGCCATTGTACAGAACACTGGTGAGACCTCACTTGGAGTATTGTACGCAGTACTGGAGACCGTATCTCCAGAAGGATATTGATAGTTTAGAAAGAGTTCAGAGAAGGGCTACTAAGCTGGTTCATTGATTGCAGGATAAAACTTACCAGGAAAGGTTAAAATATCTTACCATCAGTGGAGTACTAAGGCGGGGTTGGGGGGGCGGTCCACCCTGGGTGCCACTAGGGTAGGGGGTGCCATGGCCAGCCCCGCCGCCCCCCCCCCCATGCTGCAGCCGCCCGAGCGCTCTGTAGAGAGCCTCAGGCGGCTGCAGCTTTGCCCGGGCGGTGCGTCCATGAGGGCGGACCGAACCGCCCGGGCGCAGCCTGAGGAGAGGGGCTGACAGGAGGGAGCGCTCAGCCCTCCCTCCTGTCACTCCCTCAGTTGTAGCGTGGCCGAGCCCTGCAGCATGATGGTCCGACGGGTACAGGGAGCATCTGTCTCCTGTACCCGGCCGGACTAACAGGAAGTGCACACTCAGTATACACTTCCTGTTAGTCCGGCCTGGTACCTGAAACAGATGCTCCCTGCACCCACAGACTATACAGGGCTCGGCCACGCTACAGGGAGGTAGGGGGGAGGGGAGAAAGAGAAATTAGGAGGGGGGTGAGAAAGAGGAGAAAGGGGGGGTGAGAAAGAGGAGAAAGAGGAGAAGGGGAGAAAAGGAGGTGAGAAAAGAAATGAGAAATTGAAAAAGAAAAAGAAAGAAATGAGGTGAAAAAAGATGAGAGAGGGGTGAGAAAAGAGAATGGGGGTAGAAAGAAAGAAAGGAGGGTGAGAAAGAAAGAGGTGAGAGAGAAATTAGGAGGGGGAGAAGAGAAATTAGGGGAGAGAAATTAGGAGGGGTGAGAAAAGAGAAATTAGGAGGGGGAGAGAAATTGAAATTAGGAGGGGGACAGAGTGAAATTAGGAGGGGAAGAGATATTAGGAGGGGGAAAAAGAAAATTGGGGGGGGAGAAGAAATTAGGAGGGTGAGAAAAGAAATTAGGAGGGAGAGAAATTGAAATTAGGAGGGAAAAGAGAAATTAGGAGAGAAATTAGGAGGGGTGAGAAAAGAGAAGTGGGAGGAGGAGGAGAAATTGGGTAGGGAGAGAGATTGACATTCATCACACACAATGCACCCCTTGCACACAGAAAAACACACAATGCATTACACACACTGCATTACACACACAGACACACATACACAAGCAATGCAACCGTTTCACACAATACATCCCTTACACACAAAGAAACACACAATGCATTCATTACACACACTCAATGCACCCCTTACACACACTCAATGCATCCCGTACATACACAGAAACACACCTTGCAGCCCTTACACATACAAACACAGATTCACACAATGCATTCCTTACACACATATCCGGACATCCCCCTACTCCACCCCCTGTGAACAAACTCATTGGTGGAACATGAAAGTGGACCCTGGGACCAGACCTTGAGCTGTGTAAAAGGCCTTAAAAAAAAATGGAGCTGCTTCCCATTCTCCCAGAACATTGATTTTTGTGACCACAGTTACAAACAGCCTCCAGGGAGCCTGTTCTACACCAGACCAGTGGAGCCAGACTGCAGCTAGAGCCCATCATCATCCTCATCTGGTTGTAAGTAGGCAATTTAGTATATTATTAGGTAGCACCTTAATTACCTCATTAAAAACACATGGTCCCAGAACCACTTCAGCTTAATGTAGTAGTTCTGAACATTATAACCTGTCCTGCAAGAGCCTTTTAATGTAAACAGCGGCACTGCAGCACTGGCAATAATTAACATAGCAAATCATATGGGTGGGAGCATTGTGATGTCACATGGGGCGGCAAACTTTTACTTACACCCTAGAGGCGGCAAAATCCTTACAGCCCACCGAAAAACAGAGGGGCTGTGTGAGCTGTGGCCGCACAGTGTCCCATGGTAGTTAGGGTGCCGTGCGGCCAGTACAGCTCACACAAGCAAGCAGCTGATAAACTGGCCGCACGGAGGAAATGTGTACGTGTGACTGTCTGCCTGTGACTGTATGTGACTGTCTGCCTGTAACTGAGTGTGTGACTGTCTGTAACTGAGTGTGTGACTGTCTGCCTGTAAATGTGTGTGTGTGGGGCTGCAGGGATTTTGTAGAAGGGGGCGGGGGTTTTGTATTGGGACAGGAGTCTTTATAAGGGGGGATAAGCAGGGGATTTGTGGAAGGGAGTTGCGGGGGTTTTGTAGACTGGGCAGTACAGGATTTGTAGAAGGGGCAGGACAGAGGTTTTGTAGGAGGGGCAGGGCAGGACAAGGGTTTTGTAGGAGGGGCTGACAGCGGTTTTGCAAAGTTTACAAATTGTAAAAAAAAGGGGTGCCAAGCACAGGATCCGCCTCAGGTGCCAAATGCTCTAGGTACGCCCCTGCTTACCATGTATAGCTTGGAGGAAAGACGAGACAGGGGGGATATGATAGAAGCATTTAAATACATAAAGGGAATCAACACAGTAAAGGAGGAGACTATATTTAAAAGAAAAAAATCTACCACAACAAGAGGACATAGTCTTAAATTAGAGGGGCAAAGGCTTAAAAATAATATCAGGAAGTATTACTTTACTGAGAGGGTAGTGGATGCATGGAATAGCCTTCCAGCTGAAGTGGTAGAGGTTAACACAGTGAGGGAGTTTAAGCATGCGTGGGATAGGCATACGCAGGGCCGGACTGGGAAAAAAATCAGGCACGGGCATTTTTCAATCAGAGCAGCCCCCTAAGAAGGGGGCGGGGCCAGAGAGTGTGTGTTTTGTCATCACTAATGAAAACACGCCCCCTCTCAAAGTGAGCATGTTGGTTCAATGCCCAGAGCCCTGCACAGCGCAAGCAAATTTAATAACATGCTTGCGCTGTGTTTGCTTTTAAATTGTCTCTGGTGTCTTCACAAGTGGGATACCAGAGGACAAAAGGGCCAGGAAAGTGCATGGTGCATATGATTGGAGCCTGCTTGTGGGATTGCGTGTGTGTAGAGTGTGGTGTGGTATTGTATAAATAGGTCAATTTAATTTGTGTTTGTGGTGTAATATGTGTGGCTAGGGGCTGTAGAGAGTGTATGTATAGGGGCATAGTTTTATAGGGGATGCAGCGAGTGTGTGCATACGGGCTGTGTCTGGGTGCGCTGTGTGTGTCTGGGGGTGCTGTGTGTGTCTGCGTGCAGTGTGTGCCTGGGGGTGCAGTGTGTGCCTGGGGGTGCTGTGTGTGTCTGGGGGTGATGTGTGTGTCTGGGTGCAGTGTGTGTCTGGGTGTGCTGTGTGTGTCTGGGTGCTGTTTGTGTCTGGGGGTGCTGTGTGTGTCTGGGGGGTGCTGTGTCTGGGGGTGCTGTGTGTGTGAGTGAATGTATTTTTTATTTAAATTTAAATATATTTTTTTTACTACTAATAAAAAAAAAAATTACTTCCCCCCCTCCCTTCTTACCTTTATCCTGGGAGGGAGGGAGGAGGAGATACGTTATGCCTGGGGGGTGAGGAGCCATGCTGCCTTCCCTGGTGGTCCAGTGGTGAGAGTGAACTCTAACCTGCAGGTTAGAGTTCACTCTCGCGAGATCTGAGCGTTGCCGCGAGCTGCTTGTTAGAGCTCCGCCGG